TCGGCCATGATCCTATCAAGTGCCTCCTGCACAATCCTCTCGGATTCTGCATCCAGGGCACTCGTGGCTTCGTCTAGAAGCAATACTCTCGGGTCCTTAAGAATCGCTCTAGCTATTGCAACTCTTTGCTTTTGTCCTCCAGACAACTGAGTTCCGTGCTCACCGACCATTGTGTCCATTCCGTACAGAACAAAAAGCATATGGATACGGACAAATAGAAGGACAAACTGCGTATGGACATGAATGACAATTAGATTAGCAAAAGTAACCTGAGGTAGTTTGTCAATGAATTCAGTGGCATTTGCGAGCTCAGCAGCTGCTCTGATTTCTTCAGCAATTGCGCCTTCCTTCCCATATGCAATATTTTCCCCAATGCTTGAAGTAAACAACACCGGCTCTTGACTGACAAGCCCGATCTTTTGTCTAATCCATTTGAGCTGAAACTCTTTGAGATTGATGCCATCCATAAGAACTTCTCCGGCATCTGGGTCATAGAACCTCTCGATCAAGCTGATAACGGTTGATTTTCCACTTCCACTCTCTCCAACCAAAGCAGTAGTTGTACCACTAGGTATGGAAAGAGAGAATCCACTAAATACTTCTTCATTTAGCCTAGAAGGGTAATTGAAATACACATCCCTTAGTTCGATATCACCACGAATGTTGTCTAGTGTTCGTCCTGAAGGATCGTAAGCATCTATCTGTGGCTTCCTGTTGATTGCCTCAAACAGCTTGAGCGCCACTGCTTGTCCCGCAGCAAATGCACTCATGCATGGAGATGCCTGTCCAAGGGCCCTGAAAAAACTCCAAGGGTCAGTATAAATGCAACTGTACAAATCCCTTCCTGTATATTCTGCACACCAGACCATTCTCTAATAGAGGAAAAGAACGACGTGAAGATGGGCTTGAGGACCGGAAGAATTATGTACACTTGACAGCTCATAAAAAAGTAATGCAATTACGAACTTGAGGACTGAAGCGAGACAATACAAAGTCGCTTGGCATGCATTATGAAAAAGTATTACCCTTTCTTTCTTATTTAAGTTAGTTAGGTAAGATGAGATGTTAGGAGAACCGAGCTTACGTAGATCCAGACAATACACCGAGAACAACATTAACAATGTCCCCCCCTGTATACCCTTTCTCAAGGATCATCTTCCCACTGTACCAAACCGCCAACGCATAAGTGCAAAACACAACGAACATAAGTGTACCAAATGCCATCCCTGAGACCAAGCCCTCATGCACGGCAGATTGATAGGCTTTAGTCATAGATTCTTTGTACATAGCAATAGCTTGCTTCTCTCCTGTAAACGACACGACCAGGAAAGCAACTTCTCGTTCACTCAAAATCATTGGAGTTTTGATTCGAAATATTTAAATTTAAGAACTAAGGACATAGGTTTCTGTTATAGATAAATATACAGTTCTTATTGATCCGACTGTTTGCTCTACAATTGCTGCTGCTTGTGAGTATGAGGTTTGCCCGCGAGAAGCCAGCTTTGCAAGAGTTCTGTTAAAAACGGCACTGGACAAGATGAGGAGAGGGATTGAAGCGAGCATAACTAGCGTGAGAAGACACCCTTTGACGAAGGCAATAGCAAAGCCTCCGAAGAATATGGCAACTTGCTGAATGAACTTTCCCACCTGAAAACCACACAATTAGAAGGAAAAAGTTCCAAGGAGTACGATGAAAGATCATGATTGAAGATTTTGCATAACACATTGGGCATTATACCTTCTCGCCCATGGCATCTTGGATAAGAACAGTGTCGCCCGACATCCGTCCAATGATTTCACCCTTATTCGTTTCCTTGTCAAAGAAGCCAATTTCTTGCCTCAACAATGTCTTCAAGTACAAGCTTCTTATCCTTGCAGCTTGTCTCTCTCCAGTGACCATCCAACAAGCGACCTCTGGTGTCATAGTTAAGGAAAATGTTGAACTATTTCGAGAACAAACACCTAACTTTTTCTGTCAGTGAGCAGACTAGCAAAACTTACGCGTGAAAGCCACAACACCGGATCCAACAGCCAAGTATACAAGCTTCGGAGAAACCTGAAAAAGTTTTCGTGAAACGGCTTTGTCAAAGCTACCTTTTTGTTTCTGACAAAAAAAAAAGCTACCTTTTCGTACAAAAGTTGTCTCAGATCATACATATTAAAGATAATGCAGAACACGATGCATTGATTGCTAAACAATGACAATGAACATACTAAGCAAAGAATATAGACCATATTATGACCAAGTCAATCCAAAATTCTAAGGAAGACCTTTTATGTCTATCATTGTCCAATGAGAATTGCCAGGACAACCTTGGAAACTGCATTTGCCACTTCTTTGGTATTTCTGGTGTCGCCAAAAGAGTTGACCAGTTGTCCAAATAATAGAGTCATGAGGGGCATGCTGATGCCACTCCCAACCGCAGCAATAGAACCGGCGAGCATCAAAACATAGTCCACAGAATCCACGAACGAGAAAAGCTTGTAAAACGGTAGTCTAGGAAAGGGTTCCTCTTTATCCTTGGAATTGCTCGACCCTTGTTTTGCTGTCTCCAGCGGCGGGGATCGACTTGTGAGCTCATCAATTAGCTCCGTTTGTGAGTGTTCATCTGTGTCTTTCTCATTGGCCATCATTGTCTAAACTCACCAATTAAAAAGCCTAAACAATAGAACTTTGATAGAGTAAGTAACTGGTTATTTGTATATGGAGGGAAATGAAGGAGAACCAAATTCCAAAGCAGGTTCAGATATGGATATGCAAAACTATGCATCAACTGATCAGCATGATGAACGGAATAGTGCCGACACGAACCTTTTGGCCACATCCACATGACAACTGCTTCTTTTGTGTTTTCCATCTTGGGGTCCGTAATATTAGAGGACATTTGCATCAGAAGTAACGAAATTCATAAACAAAAGTCTGACAGATACGTTAAGAAGTAAAATTTGACTGTAATTTATGATATAGCAGAACAAACAGCAAACCAGAAAAGCATTTGAGATTTAACAGAGGGATGCTAGAAAAGGGGACCCATCAAGCAGAAACAAGGAGGCAGCTGATTTCATGACTCTCACCTCATTTTTGTGAAACAATTTACAAGCAAGAGAAAGACGAAATGAACTTCAAAGGAGTAGTGTATAGTCACGACTATTCCAGAGAAGAGAGTGAATACCATTAGCCAAAACTGGAGGTTTTTATGGGGATGAAAGCAAGTTGTGAAAATGAAAGAAATTGAGGGGAAACATTACTACCTGACAAAACTTAGAAAAAGAGATTGGCATTTAGGACCAATGAACCTTGCTACTTTGCCTTTTCCTCTGACGTTTTCTTTGCGGACTTAACATACAAGACAGGATCTTGAAAGTTTCTGGCAAAAGGCTTTTGCATGCAGCCAAGTAGCCGACTAGGGTCTCATGATGGTAACATTTATATAATCAAAGCGGAACATTCGAAGACCATTTAAAATGTTCTCAGACCTGAAATTTTTTTAAAATTTTTTATTCCTTTAACGTTTTTCTCTTGAGTTGCGCAGAAGCAGAAGTGCTTAAACGTTGTCAAACTGTCTTAATCACCTTGGATTTACCTATGTTCATTTCTTTCGAAATCAAGTAATTGATAGTCTTTTCTTTAGCGAAGGGGGAAAAGATTAAAGAGGTTTTAACATGCTGTTTTGATTAGTCTATTGCGATCCTATGATTGATACTCACGAAAAAACATCCTTAATTATACCATGCTGTTAATCACTCACTTTGTAGGATCGCCATAACGTTGCGTATACACAATTATTGCAGTTTTATGATTTGGCAATAGCAATTACCCAGGAAGGAGCCCCTGTAGGTCGTGTGAAGAAAGCAGTCTTCCCTTATTCAAAGGCACAATTCAGACCAAGTCAACCTTCCATTTTCCATGACTTTAGATATACAGATCTTGCAATAGATGTATCAGAATGTGTTTTCTTTTTACCCAACAGAATGAATTTGTGCATCCAGCTTGTTCAAATAGCCAGATGATGCAAGGGAACTTCTGGAAGTACTCCCGAAGGTCCGCCAATTCCTGTTGGCGCACCGGCTCCAGAAAGCGAGGGACAGCTACAGGATTCAAAGCCTGATGATCCTCAACTTTTAGATTGGAGGAACGATACGCGCTAACTTGAATGCCTTCCTCAGTCCATAATAGGTTCTGGCCTGTCTTGATCCTTTGCTGCGCTTTGTGGATATTCGTTTGGACCTTGTAACGGCATGAGTGGAGACACTTCATTAGGACCTGTGCAATGACCAAGACTTAGAGTGCGATCATGAACCATAATAATCCCTATTGTTGCCAATATCAGAGACGTAGTGACGAGACACTAACAATCTCTGTAACTTTTTATTTTTGGGAGGGATAGAAACAATGCCCCCGATATTAATGTCGACCTTAGAATATATGAAAGCATCGAAAATCTAAAAGCTTTTACTTTTACCAATTCATAAAGTGATTTCGAGCAAGTCAGAAGCTGCACGAGTGGTTCGCTGCTCGCTATTCCGCTAGGAATGTTCCATGTTAGCAAAGTTCAAACCCCCCAACTTCAGCAAAATCAGTTTGGAATTCCGACGCACGTGCCGGGAAAAAGTTTCTAGTTAGCATGTTTTCTGATGACGATGAGCTGACCACTCTTAATTTGCTAGAGAGTCCTAGATGAAAGATACCGCCCAATGAACCCTGTTGAATAGTGACAGTAAGGATTATACATAGGCAGGTCGATAGGTTTCACATCGGTGGCGATCTCAGCAGGGATAATGCCGGTTAACTTGTTCTAGGGAAGGTGAAGGAACCGCAAGCATGATTTCTCTATCTAATGGAAGGTTCCCAACTTCTCTTGGTATTGTGACTTTTAGGATTGGCCCATTTTAGTGAGATTCCTGACGGTAGGTTTGATCTGTAGTTTGTGCTTTCTTGCCGCATAGCACCGATAGCATGCATTTGCAGAGAGTTACCACAAGTTTTCGGCGAAGAGAAGTGCATCAAAGAGCGAGAACTTTCTCATGTACTCTAAACATTCAATCTGTAGTTTATAAGCTGGGAAGGAATCCGGGAAAATTAGGAGAACAACACAATCTGCTCACTTGGATGAAGTACTCGAATGCAGTGCCACCATCGAAGCGTACACACCATCCTTTATCGTAATCAGACTTTTGTGCTTCCCTTGCTCCGTGATGACTCCGTTTTTCACCACGGCGATCATGTCGGCGCCCTTGATCGTGGACAAGCGGTGGGCTACGACGATGGTGGTTCTGTTCACCATGACTTGGTCCAATGCATCCTGGACTACCCGTTCCGATTCGGCGTCGAGAGCACTCGTCGCCTCATCAAGTAGCAACACTTTTGGCGCCTTCACTATGGCTCTCGCAATGGCCACCCTTTGCTTCTGTCCACCAGAAAGCTGGATCCCTCGCTCGCCTACTATCGTGTCGTAACCCTGAACGAATTTCAAAATTTCGACTGCAATGAGAATGAAAGATGGCAAGTTATTAAAAAAGCGGAACAAAAGATTGTGGTTCGAACCTGCTGTAAGCTGCTAATAAACCCATTTGCATTGGCTAATTCTGCAGCAGCTACGATTTCAGCCTCCGTTGCGATCCCTTCCTTCCCGTACGCGATGTTGGCACGAATGGTGTCGTTAAACAACACGGGCTCCTGGCTTACCAGGCCCATCTGATGCCTCAACCATTTCAGCTGCAGTTTCCGGATTTCAATTCCATCGAGCATAATGTTACCCGCATCAGGGTCATAAAATCTCTGCAACAACGAGATAACCGTAGATTTTCCGCTCCCACTTTCTCCAACAAGCGCAACCGTCTGATGATAAAAATTGGTCAGTCTGTGCTGTTAGTTGTTTCGGGTTCCAGAATTTACTAGATGCAAACTCTCTTTCTATTTACAGGGAATCGTTTCATAGGATGGTACCTTGCTGGAAGGAATTGCCAAGCAAAGATCTTGGAATATTTGGACATTGGGCCTGGTGGGATAGCTAAAACCGACATGGTCGAACACGATCTCTCCTTTGAGATTTTCTATTGTTATTCCCGAGTCGTCGCCAGGATCGATAATGGATTTCCTATCAAGGATCTCTAATATGGAAGCAGCCGAGCCCTTTGCGTTGGCAGCATCCGTAAAAATAGAACTCAACTGGGTGATTCCGACTGATGCCATTTCAAGAGCAAACAAAACCTGCAGGTAAAGCATCAAGCAACTGCATATCAAGTGGGTGTCATAGTGGATCAAGTGACGTTTTTTGTTTATAGGCAGAACCTTACGCGAAAAACATCAGAGAACTTCATCTTGCCTTGCTCGACTAGCCGGGCTCCGGCATAGAAGCTGCATGAAAAGACTGCGTAAAGGAAAAACATGGCCGACCCAAATCCTATCCCACTTATTAGTCCCTGCCTTATTCCTTTCTTCATCGGGCTTTCACATTTTCGCCGGTACAAATCCATCACCCTTTCTTCAGCACAGAAAGAAGCAACTGTTCTGATACTTCCCACCGCATCATTCGCAACTTGACTTGCTTCCTCATACATTTTCTAAGAGTAATCACAAGAAAGTTACTAATCAATCAATCAGTTAAAACCATTGGTCTGAGATAATGACCTCGCATGGCATGAGCTGCTCAATCAATTATAATCTATTCATTCATGCCATAAGAAGTATGCAATACGGAAATTACCTTCGCGTCTGTGCTAAACCCTGCCATGAATTTCATTTGAACGTAACCGTTGATTCCAAAGAAAGGAAACAAGGAGAGAATTATAAAAGCCAACTGCCAATTCGTCACAAAAGCAATAGCAAAACCTGCAATGGCAGTTGCAATATTTTGAACAATCAGACCGAGCGCATCCCCAACCAGAATTTTTAAAGCGGCTGCATCAGCAGAGAGCCTAGCACCGATGGCACCACTTGAATGCTCCACTTCATCGAACCAACTTATTTCCATGTGAACCACCTTCTTGAAGCACATAGTCCGGACTCGTGCGATCAATTTACACCCGGCCACGGTGAAAAAGTAGGATTTCATCGGATGGACCAAAAGGGACGCCGAACCAAGAGCAAGGAATATCAAAGCCCAAAACTTTGTTCCTTCGCGGAGCTCATGTGGTGGCTCGTTGAAAGTTTTAATTACACCAGAGATGAGAATGCTAAACATGGGAAATATTGCTCCGCTTGCGGCAGCTGCTAAAGTTCCCAGCACTAAAACTGGGATTTCTGGCTTATTTAGATAAGCCACTCGTCGGAGAGAAACATTCCGAAGGCTTTTCGTTGTTTCCGAGCAAGAATTATTAGTCAGTTTGTCTGAAAACAGGCGGTGACTGGTACTTCCAGTCAAGGATCCCTGACTGATTGAACGCCGGAAGGACATCCTTCGACTTGAATTTCTCAAGGAATCACCAGCTATTTCCTGCTCACCCAAATTGACCGTCTCCTTTTGTTCCGACACAGAGGCAATTTCTTGCAGTCGTATAAGCTGGCTGTATGCTCCATTGCAATCTTTGACCAGCTCAGAATGAGAACCTGATAAATTAAAATGCAACAGAGAAATAGTCATGTTTTTTCCATGATTAGGATTTGCACAGCTGCCATGGCAAACCTCTGAAGACTTGCCATCAATAATAGAACTTCCAGTAAATTAAGATTAACCTCTCTCAACAATTTTGCCATGGTGTATCACGGCGATTGTATTTGCGTTCCTTATTGTGCTAAGTCGGTGGGCTACTATGACAGTTGTCCGGTCGGCCATGATCCTATCAAGTGCCTCCTGCACAATCCTCTCGGATTCTACATCCAGGGCACTCGTGGCTTCGTCTAGAAGCAAAATTCTCGGGTCCTTTAGAATTGCTCTCGCTATTGCTACTCTTTGCTTTTGTCCTCCAGACAACTGAGTTCCGTGCTCGCCAACCATTGTGTCAATTCCCTTAAGAACAAAAAGCATATGAATACAGAAATATAGAAGGAGAATCTGCGTATCAACATGAATGACAATTAGATGAGCAAAAGTAACCTGAGGTAGTTTGTCAATGAATTCAGTGGCATTTGCAAGCTCAGCAGCTGCTCTAATTTCTTCGGCAGCCACGCCTTCCTTACCATATGCAATATTTTCCCCAATGCTAGATGTAAACAACACCGGCTCTTGACTGACAAGCCCGATCTTTTGTCTAATCCATTTGAGCTGAAGCTCTTTGAGATTGATGCCATCCATAAGAACTTCTCCAGCATCCGGGTCATAGAACCTCTCGATCAAGCTGATAACGGTTGATTTCCCACTTCCACTCTCTCCAACCAAAGCAGTAGTTGTACCACTAGGTATGGAAAGAGAGAATCCGCTAAATATTTGTTCATTTGGCCTAGAAGGGTAACTGAAATACACATCCCTTAGTTCGATATCACCATGAATGTTGTCTAGTGTTCGTCCTGAAGGATCGTAAGCATCTATCTGTGGCTTCCTGTTGATTGCCTCAAACAGCTTGAGCGCCGCTGCTTGTCCCGCAGCAAATGCACTCATGCATGGAGATGCCTGTCCTAGGGCCCTGAAAAAACTCCAAGGGTCAGTGTAAATGCAACTGTACAAATCCCTTCCAGTATATGCTGCGTACCAGACCATTCTCTAATAGATGAAAAGAACGACGGGATGATGGGCTTGAGGACCGGAAGAATTATGTACACTTGACAGCTCATAAAAAAGTAACACAATTACGAACTTGAGGACTGAAGCGAGACAATACAAAGTCGCTCGGCATGCATTAGGAAAAAGTATTACCCTTTCTTTCTTATTTAAGTTAGTTAGGTAAGATGAGATGTTAGGAGAACTGAGCTTACGTGGATCCAGACAATACACCGAGAACAACATTGACAATGTCCCCCCCTGTGTACCCTTTCTCAAGGATCATCTTCCCACCGAACCAAACCGCCAACGCATAAGTGCAAAACACGACGAACATAAGTGTACCAAATGCCATCCCTGAGACCAAGCCCTCGTGCACGCCAGATTGATAGGCTTTAGTCATAGATTCTTTGTACCTAGCAATAGCTTGCTTCTCTCCTGTAAACGACGCGACCTGGAAAGCAACTTCTCATTCACTCAAAATCATCGGAGTTTTGATTCGAAATATTTGAATTTAAGAACTAAGGACATAGGTTTCTGTTATAGATAAATATACAGTTCTTATTGATCCGACTGTTTGCTCTACAACAGCTGCTGCTTGTGAGTATGAGGTTTGCCCACGAGAAGCCAGCTTTGCAAGAGTTCTGTTAAAAACGGCACTGGACAAGATGAGGAGAGGGATTGAAGCTAGCATAACTAGCGTGAGAAGCCACCCTTTGATGAATGCAATAGCAAAGCCTCCGAAGAATATGGCAACTTGCTGTATGAACTTTCCCACCTGAAAACCACACAATTAGAAGGAAAAAGTTCCAAGAAATACGATAAAATATCGTGATCGAAGCATTTTGTGTAACACATTGGGCATTATACCTTCTCGCCCATGGCATCTTGGATAAGAACAGTGTCGCCTGACATCCTTCCAATGATTTCACCCGTATTCGTTTCCTTGTCAAAGAAGCCAATTTCTTGCCTCAACAATGCCTTCAAGTATAAGCTTCTTATTCTTGCAGCTTGTCTCTCTCCAGTGACCATCCAACAAGCTACCTCTGGTGTCATAGTTAAAGAAAATGTTGAACCACTTCGAGAACAAATACCTAACTTTATATGTCAGGGAGCAGACTAGCAGAACTTACGTGTGAAAGCTGCAACACCGGATCCAACAGCCAAGTAAACAAGCTTCAGACAAACCTGAAAAAGTTTTCGTGGAAGGGCTTTGTCAAAGCTACCTTTTCGTACAAAATTTGTCGCAGACCATACATATTAATGAGAATAAAGAACAAGATGCATTGATTGCAAAGAAGATAGACCATTTTATGACCAAGTCAATCCAAAATTCTAAGGAAGTACTTTTATGTAAATACAATCATTGTGTCATGAGAATTGCCGGGATAACCTTGGAAACTGCATTTGCCCCTTCTTTGGTATTTCCGGTGTCACCGAAAGAGTTGACCAGTTGTCCAAAAAATAGAGTCATGAGGGGCATGCTGATGCCACTCCCAACAGCTGCAATAGAACCGGCGAGCATCAAAACATAGTCCACTGGATCTGCGAACAAGAAAAGCTTGTAAAACGGTACTCTAGGGAAGAGATCCTCTTTATCCTCGGAATCACTTGAATCTTGTTTTGCTGTCTCCAGCACTGGGGATCGACTTGTGAGCTCATCTATTAGGTATGTTCGCGAGTGTTCATCTGCGTCTTTCTCATTAGCCATTGTTGTCTAGGTAGAGAATGAAATCTTCTGCTATAATTTACCAATTAAAATGCCTGAACAATAGAACTTTAGTAGAGTGAGCAACTGGTTATTTGTATATGGCGGGAAATGAAGGAGAACCTAATTCCAAAACAGGTTCAGATATGGATATGCAAATCTATGCATGAACTGATCAGCGCGATATGAAATAGCACCAACATGAACTTTTTGGCCACATTGACATGACAATTCTTTTGTGTTTTTCTTCTTGGGGTCCATAATATTAGAGAACATTTGCATTAGAAGTAACGAAATTTGTAAGCGAAAGTCTGATGGTTATGTTGAGAAGTAGAATTTGACTGTAATCAATGATATAGCAGAACAAACAGCAAACCAGAAAACCATACAGACTTAACAGAGGGATGCTAGAAAAGGGGACCCATCAAGCAGAAACAAGGAGGAAGCTGATTTCATGACTCTCACCTCATTTTTGTCAAACAATTTACAAGCGGAGTGAACTTCAAAGGAGTGTGTACAGTCACAACTATTCCAGAGAAGAGAGTGAATACCATTAGCCAACACTAGAGGTTTTTATGGGGGGATGAAAGCAAGTTGTGAAAAGGAAAGAAATTGAGGGGAAAAATTACTACTTGATAAAACTTAGAAAAAGAGATTGGCATTTAGGACCAATGAACCTTGCTACTTTGCCTTTCCCTCTGCCTTTTTCTTAGTGGACTTAGCGTAAAAGAGAGGATCTTGAAAGTTTCTAGGAAAAAGCTTTTGCATTCAGCCAAGTAGCCGACTAGGGTATCATGACGGTATCATTTATAGAGTCAAAGAGGAACATTCGAAGACCATTGGAATGTTCACAGACCTTAAGTTTTTTTAAAATTTTTGTTTCTTTAACGTTTTTCTCTTGAGTTGCGCAGAAGCAGAAGTGCTCAAATTTTGTCAAACTGTTTTAATCATCTTGGATTTACCTATGTTCATTTCTTCCAAAAATCAAGTAATTGAGTCTTTTCTTGAGCCAAGGGGGCAAAGATTAAAGAGGTTTTAACATGCTCTTGTGATTAGTCAATTGTAATCCTATGATTGATACTCATGAAAACACATCCTTAATTATACCATGCTGTTAATCACTCACTTCGTAGGATCGCCATAACGTCGTGCATTCACAATTATTGCAGTTTTATGATTTGGCAATAGCAATTATCCAGGCAAGATCCCCTGTAGGTCGTGTGAAGAAAGCAGTTTTCCCTTATTCAAGAGTTCATTACCCAAGACACAATTTGAACCGAGTCAACATTCCATTTTCCATGACTTCAGATATACAGATCTTGCAATAGATGTATTAGAATGTGTTTTCTTTTTACCCAACAGAATGAATTTGCGCATAATATAACCCGATAATGTCCCCGGCTTGTTCCAATAGCCAGATGATGCAAGGGAACTTCTGGAAGTACTCCCGAAGGTCCACCAATTCCTGTTGGCGCACCAACTCCAGAAAGCGAGGGACAGCTACAGGATTCAAAGCCTGATGATCCTCAACTTTTGGATTGGATGAACGATACGCGCTAACTTGAATGCCTTCCTCAGTCCATAATAGGTTCTGGCCTGTCTTGATCCTGTGCTGCGCTTTGTAGAGATATTATTTTGTCCTTGTAACGGCATGAGTGGAGACACTCCATTAGGACCTGTGCAATGACCAAGACTTAGAATGCAATCATGAACCATAATAATTCGTATAATTGCCAATATTAGAAATATAGTGACGAGACGCTAACAATCTGTAACTTTTTTATTTTTGGGAGGGATAGAAACAACGCCCCTGATAATAATTTTGACATTAGAATATATGATAGCATCAAAAATCTAAAAGTTTTTGCTTCTGCCTGTTCATAAAGCACTTTCTCGTTAATGTAGAGCATTCAGCTTTTCGGTTGACATCGATTGGTAAGACAAAGGGCAATAACATCTACCTTTATCAACTAGGAATCACTGCAGTATCATCTCATCCCTCACTGCTCCCTCACTGCACTTAGGAGATAAACTACAATATGTGTTGTTAGGTTTTACGTAACTTAGTCCAGAGCTTAGAACACAGTCGTCTCAGTTCAATCTAGAGCATCCATGCTTTCATCCAGAACTAACTGTCTCGGGTCCTTGAGAACCGACCTAGATGTTAAGACTCAATACTCGCTGGTTTTGTCCCCACAAGAGCCGATTGCCATGCTGACCCACCATTTTGACAAACCCCTGAAGAACAATGATAAAATGAAGGTTCAGTCAGAGGCATTCTGCATCTAGTGCTAGGGAAATTACAGTTTTCATGTACTATATTTACAGAAACTGCACTCCCAATGACAAAAAACACGAAGAATCACTTGGAACCTGCAGTAATTTCTCAATCAGACTAGAAGCATTTGCAAGCTCAGCAGCAGGGCCCATATTTGTTCACTTGCCGCAGCATCTGTTCCATAAGGATACATCTTGACGCTTCGAATGAACTACACATGCCAAGTAGGCTGATTCCATTCCCGTGATTGGGGAATGATTAAATGATCTTTACTATAAGGTGACATTCCACTCCACTGGATCCAATCAGTAAAGTTTACCAGGGGCAAATTCTCCTAATCTGCACTGAAGGAAAAGTATTACACTTTCCTACAGTTCTTTCCCTAATAGTCCACAATACCTTATGCCCACAAAATTCCATGGCTCGTGACTGGTTCTCCAATTAGGTGTTGTCTGGTGACATAAAGCTACACAGTTTGAATAGTTACTAGGTGTCACCAGCTCCAAAAAGCTTGAGATGCATCTTGGAAAAGAATGCAACAGTTGATATACAAGCTTTCTTAGGCATAGTGATGCCAAATAGAATCTAAGCTGAATTAGGGATGTGGGGGGACATCTTCAGGCTTCTTATGTTCTGAGAAATTTCTAAATATTCTTTAATACCACCCATAAAGTCTACCTAGCACTCTCAAAGATGTGCTGAGAATCACTTGCAACTTTTAAACTGCAGTCCCTTTTCATTTCCCAGCTCAAGGTTTTTAACAACCACACAAGCTCCTCAAACTGAGGATGTGAAACATGATCTTTGAAAAATGTTGTGACCTTCCCGAACAGCTCAATGTAGCTCCATCCAGGGAGCTTTTTCAAGCCAAGAGACCTCATTTGGGCCCATGACTCACCCACATTATCCCATCTATTCAATGATGCATAGCTATGCGCCAGTTGCACGTAACATCCAGCATCAATAGGTTCCAGTATGGACATCTCTCCAGCAATAATTTCACTAAGTTCTACATCGCCACTAACTCGACAAGCATCAATGAGTATGCCCAGTGCATGAAATGAAGGTCGAGGAAATGTACTCTTGTAGAAGCAATATGCCTCATACACCCTGCCAGCTCGAGATAGAAGATCAACTATGCAAGTGCGATGCTCAAGTCTAGGTACAATACCATAATCTTCGGTCATTGATTTAAATAAGCTGAGCCCTTGGTTGACAAGCCCAGTATGACTACAAGCAGAGAGTATGGAGAGGAAAATCACATCATTTGGCTGAAAACCTCTATGAAGAAACTCTGAATACATTTTCAGTGCAGTTTCACCCTTCCCATGAGATCCATATCCTCCAATGATTGTTCCCCAGGAAACAAGATCATGTTGTGACATTCTATCAAAACATTTCTGAGCATTATCCAGGTCCCCACATTTAGCGTACATGTCCACTAAAGCAGTTTCAACCTCGATACATTGTCCAAAGCAACTCCTTAGGACGAAACTGTGGACCCATTTTCCCTGGTGGAGTGCCCCCACTAAAGCACAAGCTTGGAGAAGAGATACAATAGTAATTGGATCAGGTAATTGAAGGGCCTCCCTCATAGCATGGAACATAGTGAATACCTCAGATAGCTGGCCTTTCTGAGCATAACCAACTATAATCGCATTCCAAGAAACCAAATTCTTCTTCTCCATATTATCAAAAACAGCACGACTTTGCACTACATGATTACATTTTGCATACATCGTAACTAGTGAGTTCTGTGCAGCAAGCTCTACAGGAATTCTTTGCCTCAACACGTAACCATGAATGGAGGTTCCAAAACTATAGGAACCCATATGTGCACAAGCTGCGAGGGTGCAAGCTATCGTGTCAGTAGAGGGAGTTTCACCGGATTCTAACATGGATTTGAAGACCAATAGTGCCTTATCAGCGTTATTATTCTGTACAAGCCCTGAAATCAACGCAGTCCATAGAACAACATCCTTATCAGGGGCCAGCTCAAATGTTCGAAATGCGCCATCTGAGTTACCACATTTTAAGTACATAATTACAAGAATTGATGCAATGTGAGCATCCACTTCGAGTCCGGCTCTTAAAATCTGCCCATGCACCAACTTTCCCAAGTAAAGATCACCACGTGCTGCAATTGCAGACAATAAAGAAGCCAAAGTCTGCTGGCCTGGTTCCACACCTTCATCTTTCATTCTAGTCAAGAGCTGCATTACTTCCCCAAAATTACCAATTCGAGCATATGCTGCGACCAAAGTATTCCACGAGACAATGTCCCTTTGATCCATAAGTTCTAACAAAGCCTTTGCATCATCAATGCTTCCGCATTTACCATAAGTATTCAAGAAAGAATTCGATAAGACTACATCCGACCCAAAACCATATAACAGTGCACAACAATGCAAAGATTGCACTCTTGTAAGCTCCAAATCTCCGGCAAGCACCTCCAACAATGTCACCGAGCTGGGCTCCACTCCTTCGTGACGCATATCATTCAACAGATTAAACGACGCATCCAAATCACCTGCCTTACTGTAACATCCGATTATGGCAGTCCAAGGAACGACGCTCCTCACAAGCATTAAGTCGAACACCTTGCCAGCACTACGCACTTGGCCAAACTTCGCATAGAACGTGATCAAAGAAGAGGCAATATAAGCATCCGAAGCAAACCCATGAACGATTAGGCACTGGTGAAACGAGAGACCGAGTGGGTAGAGGCCCAGATGAGCGCACGCTTTGAGGACGCTCGGGAACGTGTGAGGATCGGGAGGGACTCTGTCGATGCGCATGGAGGAGAAAGCGACAAGGACGTCGCGATGAGCCCCTTGTGATGATAGGCGATTGATGGCGGCGTTGCGCGAACGCGTCGGAGATGCGGCGACGGGCGGCGGCGGCGGCGGCTTTGAGGGCGTCAAGCCTTTGCCCGACAAATGTTTGAGCTTGTTCATTCCACATCGGCCGCCCTTCTTTCATTCAAACGCTAGTAGCAATCACTCCAATCTCATAGTCCGTAGGACGAGTCCTTTAACTTTGGATAATGCACCATCATCTTCTTAGCAACTCAACATTGTAGCCACTCCAAAACTGATGCTCGAGAGAAGGATAAAAAAGAAGTTGGAAATATACAATTTGCGAAATTATGAATATCGTGACAACAATAATAATAATTACACGGTAATTTCGAAAAGTTAAAATTCGTGACGTACTTGCAGCGGTCCGGTGCCTCGTGACCGGAATTAAGACCTCGTCACCTTGTTTGGATAAGTTTTTTCTTCCTCCTCCTCCTTTCCCGTCGTCATCCGTGATTGGCGGCGGCGCCCGGGTTCGGTGGCGGCGGCAATGGTGTTTGACCTTGGATGGTGGCAAACCGCGGTAGTGGCGACGTTGACAAGGCCGCCGGAAAGATTCTTTTAACGAGAAAATGAAAGTCGTTGCAAGAATAAGGGAAAAGGGGTAACGTGAGAGCATTTTGGACTGTCAATTGAACAAGTGAAACGCACCGCGTTTAGCTTTATTTACGAAAGCACTAGATTTGAGCCGATCTTTGAGAGTTTGAAAACTACATTGAACGAAAAAATGTTACCAGGCGATGAGGTGAAGTTCAACGACCACCAGTGTCGTCCCATTCTTGCATCAAAAGAATCAATACTAAGATAATAAAAGAATTCACTTTACCTTTTTTTTTTTCAATTTACAGTCTAATACGTCGGTTCTCTTTTGTTAAAACGTATTTGAGTTGAATTCATGGTAACATCTTGTTTATATCCTGTCACATTTACATCACTGGCCTTCCTTTTATACTCCTTGTGAAAACTAAACCTGAATCACATATTAGAGACAATAGAATGAAGAGTGGAATCAACATGGGTACGAGAACCAGATTGGTGCAGAAGAGATTGGCAAAGCATTTCTCTTGAAACTTCTTTGCCCACTTGAACTCCGTGTGCCACGAAGCGGGATTTCTGTGTATTCCACTCCGTGGAAGGGATCTGGACCATGTTTTAGCATAAGAGGGACAACCAAAGAGGAGATCATGGCATGGTTCTTGCGCTTCGTATCGAGTCTCGGTCGGTACCCATTATGATAATCTATCGATCTTTCGTAGGTAATCTACTTTTAGTGACCAACCAGAAGATGAAATGAGAGGGACATGTACAACCTCCCAACTTCCTCCATGAGCCTTATCAGAATTAGCCTCCACAATCGAAACTCCTAAGCTTCTGCTCCAAAGCTTTTATAGCTTTCATTCGGAAACAGTCCTCAATTTATGACGACTGTTTTCGATGCTGTAGAACTTGACTGATTCTAATACAGAACACGTCCTGCACCAGTTGGCGACACCAATGTTCCCCAACCATGAATCAGAAACAAACTTATCAATATACCTAAAATAATAACTAATATGTTACATGCCAAGACAGTAACCCCAAGGTAGATCCTGATAACGACTCGACTTATACTTTTAAAAGCCGTTCAAATTTTCTGCACATACTATGCTTCAAAACTTAATCCAAAACCCCTCATCCGATTCCAGCATAGGATAGTCACATCCTAAAGATCAAAATGATATCGAACTCATAAAAGTCTAGCCCAACAACCGCATTAGATATTATAAAGTCCTGTCTCCACAAAAACACACATGCAAAAGGACTAAAGAAGGCTCCCAGTTGTCCTCAGTCGTCATATTGCCACACATTATACACGTTGCTAATTGATTGATAGTCCTCCAGAATCATGCTTATTCACCAATGTAATTGTCTCTTTAAATCAATATATTCACCAAATCTACACGATAGGCAAAGAACATAAAATCAAATAAAAAAAAAAGAAGAGGAGAAAAGAGAAATGCTATGGTTCACTAGGAAGCTAAAAGTTTCGATCACCATTACACATCCAAGTCTACAACGATTCAAACCTTTTCCACGCTTTCAGCCAAAAAACTCTTATTTTCCTCAAAAAACTTGTAATGCGGCTTCTGGATCAAGCAATGCTGACAGGCCAAATCTATCAAACACAAGTATCTCAAGATCCAAGCAACCTTTGACAATTTGTATGCCTTACTAACTGAGAATCAAGTCATCAGACTCAACTACCTCCTGAATTTCTTCCTTACTTGCATTGATCAAGAGAGCACGCTATTACTCTTGTTTCTAGCCACATCTTCATGAGCTTTAATAGGAGGCAACTTGGCTAGCACCCAAGAGGGCAAGCCATCCAGCCAAAGTCCTTGCCTGGTCTCTTTATGCCTGAAGTCAGGGGACTTTTCCTTGAGCTGTGAAAATGAAGAACCACAACGGAGACTTGTAAGAAAACAAACAGGGATCATGGCTTATAATAGTTACTTTTCCTTTTTTTTTTTTTTTTTTGGTAAGGTTAGTTACTTTTCCTTTTGATGCCTCAGAAGTCAATGTATTACCTTGTTTGACCTATTGTCCCACCACTTTTCTGGGTTTTCCAACAAGCTCTTCCAGGAATCATCACCTAAAACCAACGGAGGCTGTACATTATCAAAACTATGACACTTGATGTCAAGTGTTCCATTTAGTAAGAATCTGTGCAAATATGTAGATCCTCTTAGTTCTTTCTCATCATGATATTAATGTTTTTTTGCCCGTTACAAACTAGATTCTAGAGCCTAGAGCTTTGAAAATCATTCACTCAGTTTCAATAGGTCAATGGATCACAACTTTAATTGTGATAGGTCTGGCAGGATTTTGATTCTCTTGACTTCAAATTTTAGGTTAGCTCTTATGTTTATTGACAGTCAACAGAATGGTTGCTCAATTAATGAGAAATGATCTTTCCTTTGGCTGTCCTATACAGCTCAGGTAATTGTGGAGAGAGGAAGATTTATGGATGCAACTTAAAGCTGAACCCATCTTCAGGGTTGTTATAGTAGGGAAGAAGCAATTAGAGCCTTTAATCTGAGAAGGGACAAAGATTTGATGGCCATGTCAATGTAGCTCAGGATGCAATCAAGCTTTATCAAAGCTCCTAGATCCTGATGTGAATTGCTCGGGTAAAACTTTTAGGAGGAATGAATTGGGTGCGGTTTCAAGTTAACAGATTTCAGAAGCAGCTATTGATTGAACAGTTGGAGCTCTGGAAGATAAGGTCCTTCAGGAAATGAGGGGGCAAATCATCAGGTCCTGATGGTTTTACTTCTCAATTTTCTGCTGAAGTTACATCGCAATGCAACTCTTTACTTCTGATGAAGGTCTCCAAATGATCCTGTTCATGGAGGAGCTTCTCTTCAAGGGAAAAAGACGTAAAATATATTATTTTTTCTATCAAAGTTCGGCTGAAACCTGCTAGTAGTCCAAGGCAGATAATGACAAGTGATTGCAGTAGAGTATGTTTAAAATTGAATCTGTTCATATATGTATTGCACTGAGTATATGAGAAGTTGAAAAGCAACCCAATCCAATATCGACACATTCCAAATCCCCCACCCCCAAAGAAAACTAAAGGAACTATTGACTAATTTTTCTTTTTAAAATCGGATATGAATTGTCCATTCGCATGGTGCTCCTCTTGGTGTCTTGATGGATTTAAACAATTGATTTATGGAAACGAGATTTTTATCAATGATTGAGATTTATCGAGGTACCAAGAGGAGACTCTTGAGGGGTAGAGGATCTTCACCCCTCATAATCTGGGAATCATCATATTGTGTAAATGAAAAGCATGCATACCACTGAAATAAACCACGACTAACCATTTTGCTCCTTTGCAATTTTAGCTCCATTAACTTGAGTGTCAATTTGAAGGTTTTCAATCTTTGGCAAAACCCACTTGGGTGCTTTACCAAGCCAGAGAGCAACAGTACCATCCTTCCGTTTAAAATCTGGGTACTTAGGACTCACCTGAAAAAACATTAGACATCTGAATTAGACAAGTTAGAATAATCAGATGAAAGAAACAAGTCTCAGCGAACGGTCATCACCAATCCACGGTGCTTATTGTCACGGTTATCCCACCAGTCTGTCGGATTATCAATGAGGTCTTTCCACGGGCCTTCCTCATACTTTTGAGTAACTGAATGATAGTGACAATGACCATAGAAATTCAAAAGAATGTAACCAATAGTAGCCATGTAATAACTTAAATAGGAGGGAACGATGAGATTCGCCAAAAGATCAAAGTCCTTTCTTAGCTGATTGTGGGCATTTTTCATTCAGATTAGTATCCATTTAATGGCTGACTTAATATTCAGAGCAACTCCTTCAGATTTTTCTTGTTGACATTATGGACCCTTCTAATAGTCATGTTAGCTAAAATATTAACAAGAGTTAAGCCTTTTCCCACTATGTAGGGTAGCACACATTAGGTAAAAGATTTTTTGTATGAAGTCTTCAATTATATCTCAAATTAAGACATTAGGTAAAAGATTTTTTTACTTTTCACACAAAAGGTTACTGACTGTCACAATGATATCGACCTTTTGGAATCATTAGTTCCACCATTCACAAGTGCTACCTAGAAGATCCTCCAACACATGAGGGTTTTCATAATCTAAAAGATTGTTCCTAAAGTTTAGGGACCTAAACATAATCATATACCTTACATTTTATAACTATCACAAGAGAGGGTGTATCATCATCATCCCCCCCCCCCCCCCCAAACAATAGGAGAATTGTATGTCCTTCTTAAGAGACATAGTTGATGTACAATATGGGTGTCAAACGATGTTGGAAGATCGTTTACATCGGTATAAGAGCTAAATACCAGTCTTTCCTAGCCCAACCTGACCAGGAGTGAACTTGGACTAATAGGCATAGACACTACTGAAAAAAAGTAGGTAAAAAAAACGGCATAGAAGAAGAAGAAGAAATGCAGCTCCACCAGATTTTCACTACAAACATGCAAGTTATTTGCCTAAATTTGTTGTTTGTCTGCGTATATGCATGCTGTCCATAGGAGCTTGTGCATGTGAACTATAATGTAATCGCCAATCAGGCATAATTCACCCAAAATTTGTCAGGGCATGTGTCTGAAGTTTAGCTTCACTAGAATAACTAAGATGATGGGATGTTAATTGATGCAAAGAGGTCTCCATAAATTAAACAAAGATAGAACCACTGAGATTCAAGCAGAAATGACTGCTTAAGGGTCTCAAAATGGACTTGTGTGTTTCCATGGGGTAAGGAAGCATAGTTGAAGACCACAGATCTAAGGCCATACCAGCACCACTGCTAGAAGACTTTTCATGTCTATAAGAGACAGAGCTCTTTTTCAATTGAGAAGATCCTTCAACAAAGTTAATGCTGTGTACCATCACCTGGTAAAGCCAAAGTATCAAAATCAGCTTCAATTAGTTAATTGTTGAGTGAAAATGTAATTGTGGACAGACTGAAGGCACAACGAAAGAAACAGAAGTGAACCCGTTTTCTCTTCATAACTTTTGGAGAAGTAAAAATAAAATTATCATCATCATTAGACATAAAAAAAGCAAGAGAAACCTGTACTGCCCGAAGCTACAATCAAGTTATATACA